GCAGGATGCTCCAGGTTGTCATCCCTGGGGCAGGGGGAAGAGGGTGGCGAGAGCTGACCCCCGAGCGCCTCTGCTGCCTCTTGGGCACAGCCAGAGTGCTCTCGCTCTTGTGTCAGCCCCAGCGCATCTCACTGTGTCTCGCCGAGTATAGGGTCCTCGGGAGCCTGCTGCCATAGGAAGGGCTCTGCCCTGTGCCCAGCGCGCCCACTGTCCTCCAGTGCACCCGTGCACGGCGCTGTGAGCTGAGCTGAGGTCACGCCAGCTCCCTCCGTGAGCTAGTGTCGCTCTAGTCCTCCTATCGCCATCCTCCGCATGAGCTGCCCTGCCCCAGCCCTATGAGGTCTCTGTCCCCAGCCCCCACGGTGTAGAGGGCTGAGGCCCCCTCCCAGCCTCCACGGTGGCTGGCCCCAGGGGTGGAGGAGGGCTTTCCAAAGAACCCGAGGGGCCTCGAGTCGCTCTGCCCTCAAGCAGTCCCCAGGTGGATGGGAAGTCGCTGCAGAAGGGGCCTCTCCGCTGCCTGACGAGCCCCCTGCATGGGGGCAAGTGCATTGGGTGGGCAGGGGATGTGGGGGCCTGACCACATCTCTGCGATGCCCATTACCGTGCAGGCAGTGGTGGTCGGGGGGGAGCCTGCCCAGTAGCATGGCCTCTCAGCCCAGCTGCTCCCAGGCTGCCCCTCAGCCCCTGGAGCAGCCGGACACAGGTGTGACCCCCCCCCAACAAGGCCCTGGTTCAGCTTTCCCAGGGCAGCCACGTGCTGGCAGGTGCCTGCCCAGATCCTCGTCCCCCAGGGAGTATGGGGCTCTGCGCCCCTTCTGCCAGGCTACGCACAAGCCCACCACGCTCCTGGAACAGCGAGTCTGGAGCCGGGAGCACCTGCAGCCGGGAGCGCTGGCACCCTGGACTGAGCCAAGCGCCCGGGGCAGCAGCTTTGAGCAGGGCAGGTGCTACGCGCACACCCCAGCCCGGGCCTCAGCCGCCCTCCCCACACCAAGTAGTCTTACCGCAGGAGGGGGGTGTTGAGGTACAGGGCTCTTTGCTTTGGGGAGGGGGCGGACACCCGCCCCGTCCCTGCAGCCGGGCTCGCCCTGGGCAGCAGCTGCTCCTGGAAACACAGGGCTTGGGCACGGTCTGGTGCAGAAGTGGCCAGCAGCTGTCCTGGGTCCGGGTCCCCTGGGGCCTCTGCTGGCCGGCTGCCCTCAGAGGGGGTTGTGCTCAGGGAGCCAGGCCCCCTCCATGGACCACTGCTCCTTCCAGACCCACCCCAGGCTGCTGGGCTGCAGCTGTTTGTCACAAATACCGCTGCAGCGGGGGTTGCCAGCCCAGGAAACCTCAATTGTTTTGTTCCACGGTCAGTGAAAAAGCCTTCCTGTCGCCCCCGACACTGGGCTCCAGCCCTGTCGAGCTCTGCCCCATGTTCAGCAACGGCCCTGCCGGGCTAAAGTGCCACTTATCTTTAAGAGCTTTTGCAATAAGTCTTTTTTTTAATGATGATTATTATTTTTTTAATCTTTCTTTTACTTTTATTGTTGTTATTTCCATGTCCTGACCAAAATTAGGAATTGGGGGGGGTCAGTCCTTTGTATCCTGCAGTCACCTGAAGACAAATGGGTCGGCCATGTCCATAAATTTTCTTATGGATCTTTCTTGCAGTTTTGTTGCTTTTCATTTTATTTTTTGGTTTTGTTCTCTCTCTCTCTCTCTCTCTCTCTTTCTCTCTCTCTCTTAAGCTTTTAAAGATGGGGCTTGGATTTGACCTCGATGCTCACCTGTTGAGGCATACAATTTTTTTATTTGTTTGTCTGTTTTTATTATAATCATCCTCATTTTATATTTCTTATATATAATATATATTACTATATATATATATGTACATATATATATATATATACCTCTATATGCGCCATATCAGTGTAGATACCCATCCAGTAGCATTTAGGTCTTGATATTGTGCCATTTTCTGTTACCGATCTCTGAATGCCTTCAAGTGTATAAAGTGTTGAATTATCTCTGGTATCTGTACTATGTACACACATTTTCATAGGAAGCACAATAAGATGACAGATGCATTGTACATCAAACCTGCTACTCTTAGCAATGATATAAAGGATGGTATAAATCATGAAGACAGCCTTCTTCTCTCTTGCTGGGCTGCAGGAATCAATCTCCCAGGGGAGGGTAGGCACTGCAAACAGGCTGGGCTCCCTGCAGGGCTGAGGTGGGCTTCTCAGCTGGCTGTGGAGCGGGGACGTGATGCGAGAACAAGCTCCGACCCTGCCCTAAGTGCATGCTTAGATTGTGAGAGTCCCAGAGACTCCAGGCGTGCTTTTGTAACAGCTCACTTAGATCAGGGGGTCCCAAAGGAGGGGCTGCTGGAAGCACTTCCAGTCCAAGGGACATCTTTTCAACTATTTACTGGCTTTGTCCTCTGGCGGCGAGTCAGCGATTGGGGAGGTTTGAGCAAAAGCAGAGTCTGTTTTCAAGCGTGTAGGAAACACACTTTTCCCATTGTTAGCGTGAGCCCGCTAGCCTTTTACCGGGGTAGGTTTGGGGCAAGAACCTGACACTGAAGAAAGAGCCTGTCTCACTTGTCTGACTTAGTAGCCCTTGTGCATGCAGGACCAAGTGTACTGTGCAGACTGGAACATAAACAAGAGCTCTGCCCAAAAGCCTTTTCAGCCGAGTGTTTCTCTGGAACAAAGAGCAGTGCATATAAACTATGCTTGTGACCCACTTCTGTTGGGCCGGGCTGGGGCTAGGCTGGCCAGGAAGAGGGGGTTTTGTCTAGCAGAGGAATGGTAGAAGCAACATCCTCTGAAAGGAGTTGACGGACCTAAATTAACTGGAGCCAGCCGTGAAGCAAACCCCAAGTGCAGGCATAGCATAGCAATGAGCGGAGCGGCTTGCACCCGCTCCTGGGGCTACTGCAGCGATCTGAGGACTGGCGCGGCCGCGGCACGCAAGCCGTCGGCAAGCGCTGCATCAAGGGTGCACCGTGCCTTCGTGCACGGTCCCTGGCGGTACGAAGGATACAGCTGACTGCCGCCAGCCTCCAACTCGTCTCAGCATTTCGGCACGGAGCTGGGACCTGGGTTGTGAGGCAAGAGGGACCTGCGCCGGGCAAGGGCCTGCGGGCTGGGCCAGTGCACGGGCAGGGCGCAGCACAGACGTGCCTCCCAAGCCCGGCCCCAGCTTCCTGCCCGGGCTGCTGTGGGGGGACCAGTCGCTGCCACTGGCCGTGGCCCTGCAGCCCGCGGTCGCTGTCACGGTGCGGCGCCGCGCTTAAATAAGGGTGCGGAAAAACTCGAGCGGGTCCAGAGAAGAGGCGACCGTACGATGAGGGACTTGCAAGGCAAGCCATAGGCGGAGAGGCGGAGGGACTTCCATCTCTTAAGCCGACCGAAGAGACGGTGGGGAGGCGACTTGATAGCGGCTTATTGCTATCTCAGAGGAGTGCAGCGGGAGCTCGGTGAACAACCCCCGGGGAAGACCAGGACCAATGGGTGCAAAGTCCTGGAAGGCCGCTTCAGGCTTAATAGCCAGGAAAACTCCTTCACAGCCCGGGTGTCCCGAATAAACCCCCTCCAGCGGTGTGCAGTCCCCTACCCTGGAGGTTTCCCAGAGGAGACTGGACAGTCACCTGACCCCAGTTGTCTGCCTGCCTAGTGCCACCTCCACCACGTGCACCCATTGCTCCTTCCGCCACCGCGGAGGCCGGCCCAAGCGCTCCGCCCCGCCAGAGGGCGCGCGCCGCCC